ATTCTAAGATTTTGACCCAGCGATTGTGAGTGAACAGCAATATATTTCCAAGTCAGGAACTCCAATGCCAACCATACCAAAATCTCGCTTCATATGATTTACAATAAGAATGTATTTCTCTTTAATTACTAAAGAAGTATTCCAGATGTAGAACTTCCTTATTTTTAAAAAAGTGTGAGAGATATATGGTATTTTCAATTCATTTATCATGAAAGGTTATCTTACCTTTAAAACAGATTAGTTTTAGCAATAGAATACCAAACTATTGACCTTATTATGTTCTATGGAGTGTCTTTAATTTATTTGAGCTAAAATGTTTTGAAGATTCAAATAAATGAAAGGGCTGAAACTGAAGGATCGTACATAGAAAACATGTTGTTTCAAAAGATAAATTCCACACCAACTTTGAAAGCTAAGTGAAATCAGAAAATTTCACAAAAAAAAAATCAGAAAATACCCACTGTGAAGACATTTAGTCAAAAAAATCTATAGTAGCAACATTTTAAAATCAAGCTGGAGTAGCTCCTAAAAAATCCAACAAACTTTGAGACCAGAAAACAAAGAAAGTAAATCCGTGAAATCATTTAATACATTGCAGGGCAATGCAAAGACTATCAGTGCACAGAGGCACTTATTCAGAGGCTGCAGTTAGGGGTATTGCATAATATGTTAATTTCCAAATCAATTTGACTAGAACAGCGGTATTAACAGTTTTAGCATTTTAATTCTTTTCCCTGGCTTCTGCATGTAGTGTAACTACTTGTTAAAGATATGTTTTTCTTAAAATAGAGCTATTACATGACTAAGTTTTTAACTTGATCAAGTTTTATTTGAAGAGATCTCTTTTATCAGTTCACTCCATTCTAATCCTGAGTTTGCTTCAAATTAGTTTCCATTACACCATGAATAAGATGATTGCCAAGATCTTTTTCCAAGGATAGGGGAACCAAAACTAGACGGAATAGGTTTAAAGTGAGAGGGTAAAGATTTAAAAAGTAACATGTTCAGGTGGAGGGTGGTGCGTGTATGAAACAAGCTGCCAGAGGAATTGATGGAGACGGGTACAATTAAAACATTTAAAAGGCATCTGCATGGGTATATGAATAGGAAGGGTTTAGAGGGATATGGGCCAAATGCTGGAAAATGGGACTACATCAGATTGGGACATCAGGTTGTTGCAGACAAGTTAGACCGAAGGGTCTAAGGTTCTTCAGCAGATTTGTAGCTCGGGTTGTGGATGCTGTGGTTGATTCGCTCACTGAACTGATTCATTAGTTCGCAGACGTTTCATTACCCTGCTGGGTAACATCATCAGTGCAGCCTCCAATGAAGCGCTGTTGTGTTTTCCCGCCTGGTATTTAAACTCTGGGGTCCAGAGTTGATCACCTCATTTCTGGTATTTCTTCGCAGTGGTGTATAAACAGGATCTAATTCTATGTGTTTATTGATGGCCTTCTTATTGGGGAACTAGGCCTCTAGAAATTCCCATGCTTGTCCCTGTTTGGCCTGTCCTAGCGTCCTGATGTTGTCCCAATCGATCTGATGGTTCTCCTTATCTGTGTGAATGAAGACAAGTGAGTATTGGTCGTGTCTTTTTGTTGCTAGTTGGTGTTCATGTATTCTTGTGGCCAGTTTCCTTTCTGTCTGACCAATGTAATGTTTGTCGCAGTCCTTGCACGGAATCTTGTATATCACGTTGGTTCTGTCCATAATGGGTAAGGGGTCTTTGGCTCGAGTTAGCAGTTGGCATAGGGTTGACGTAGGTCTGTGAGCCACTCCGATGCCCAACGGTTGTAGGAGTCACATGGTCAGTTCGGATATGTTCTTGATGTACGGTAACGTGACGAGTGTGTCGAGACATACTGTATCTTCCTGTTGTTGTTTGTGCGATAGGCATTGTCAAACCCAGCTGTTTGGGAGGCCGTAGAATTGGGGTTGTTTCTCCCTTCAGGTTTCATTTTTAGGTAGTCTGCTTTGTTGATTTGTCTAGTCTGTTTTAGTCTCTTTAGTGTGTTGATTTTTTATTACCCAGTTGCGGTGTCAGGTCAATGTGCACTTGCTGGTATGTATTCGTGTCTGATAGTAGCGCATGTTCTTTAGTGAGGTAGTCCCATTTGTTTAATATTACTGTCAGGCGCCCTTTGTCCACTGGTAGGATTATGATGTCTTTGTCTTTTTTCAGTCCTTCTCAGGCCTTCTTTTCTGATGTGTTGAGACAGTGTTAAGTTTGCTCCTTTCAGTCAGTGTCAGGGCCACTGTCTGTCTAATGGCTTGCTGTATTTCCTCATTGATGCCATTGGTCTTCAGTGTGGATTCTAGTGTGGCTAGGAACTTTGTCCTGTTAGCATCTCTGTGGTTGTAGTTGAGACCACGTATTAGAACAGCTTTCTCTGCGTCTGTTAGTGTCCTGTCTGAAAGGTTTCTTATCCAAGTGGCTGATCTTTGGTTGTCGTTTTGGTGGGTTAGTTTGGCTAGTTTTTCTTGCAGGATCTGTGTTTTCTTGGTTCTTGTTACTCGTTGACTGATGTTAATGGCTCGTTCTAAGTCTGTTGTCCACTCAAGGTTGGTTGCATCTAGGAATAGGGTTTTTTGGCACGTAATTTCCCTGTCATATCTGTGGAAACCAGAGGAGACACACCAACTAATAAACAACACTCTCACCGGCATCAAATTCACCAGGGAAGAAGAAAACAAGAACAGCTCCCGGACATCCTGGTAGAACGCAGGGCCAGCGGGGAGTTTCTGCCAAAGGTACACAGAAAGGCCACACATACGAGTCAAGTCCTGAATTTCAACAGTAACCACCCCAACATCCATAAACGAAGTTGCATGACAACACTGTTTAAATGAGCAGCAACACACTGCAGCAACCCGGAACTATGCTAAAACGAAGAAGAATACTTCTACCAAGTATTTAAGGACAACGGATACCCGAACAGCTGGGTCCAACGATGCCTATCACACAAACAACAACAGGAAGATACAGTGCGTCCTGACACACTCGGCACATTACCGTACATCAAGAACATATCCCAACTGACCACGAGACTCCTACGATCATTGGGCATCAGAATGGCACACATACCTATGTCAACACTATGCCAACTGCTAACTTGAACCAAAGACCCCTTACCCACTATGGACAGAACCAACATGATATACAAGATTGCATGCATGGACTGCGACAAACATTACATTGGTCAGACAGGAAGGAAACTGGCCACAGAGAATATATGAACACCAACTAGCAACAGAATGACACGACCAATACTCGCTCGTCTCCATTCACATGGATAAGGAGAACCACCAGTTCGACTGGGTCAACATTAGGATCCTAGGACAGGCCAAACAGAGACAAGCACGGCAGTTTCTAGAGGCCTGGTTCTCCACCAAGAAGGCCATCAATAAACACATAGAATTAGACCCTATATACACACCACTGCGAAGAAATATCGGAAATGAGGGAATCAACTCAAATGGACTCCAGAGTTTAAATACCAAGCGGGAAAACACAACAACGCTTCATCGGAGGCTGCACTGATGTTACCCAGCAGGATAATGAAACGTCTGCAAACTAATGACCCAGCTCAGTGAGTGAACGAACCAACCAACCATAGACCAAAGGGTCTGTTTCCATGCTGCATGATTCTACAACAGTACTTGATCAGTCATCTACTCTGTAAATGAGTGCTTAAATTGCAAAAATATTTCTGCTTTAATTTAGATTGTTTTAAAATGTATAGTGTTTTGTTACATTATTTTAATAACACATGGAATTAACCAAGATTACAATGAAACACCATTTAAAATGGAGCATGTATTTTAAATTATAATTTGTATGTCACACCAGAATCAAGTTTATTGGACTGCATAATCAATGGTTTCATTTAATATTAAAATTTTAGTTGCTTCATCATTTAAAAAAAAAATGTAAAATGGATTTGAATTTATTCAACCAAATTCATGCAAAATCTGATTATATGAGGGCTATAAATTCCATCTTCCTTTGCTACACACTTGACGTTTATAAGTCAATCTTTGAATTAATCAAATAATTTCCACTTTACAGAGAATAATCAAAAAGCATAACCAGTTCTGCATTTTAAATTTCTTAAATCATTAATATCTGACACAGCAAATAGTCAAAGATTTATGGGCAGCTTAATAGCCTAATAGTTACAGAACTGACATTCTAACTATATATGGGAGTTCCAGAACTATTTAATGTTAATTCTTCTCTCAAGTTGAGTTAGGAATTTTAACATTATTAAATTTGGTTACTTCTTGCAACAATGGATAGCATCTCATAAAAGTTCAGTTTTAGAAGAATTTAGACATTCCTGTTAACATCCCATTGATCTACTCTCGATATATGGTGAAAAAAGTAATTGTAGAGGTGTGATGTTTGTATTAAAAATGTTTAAGTTTTCACAAGATAAATGTATTCAAATAAAACTGAAATATTGTGGATGCTAGAAGTATGAAATAAAAACAAAAAATGTTGGAGAAATTCCACAGATCTGGCAGCATCTGAAGAGAGAGAAACAGAATTAGCATACTGAAAACAGTCAATGGACTCAAAATGTTAAATCTGTTTCTCTCTCCACAGATGCTGCTACTATAGGTGTCTTTTTTTGACTAAAAGTCCCCAGCATCGTTTTTATTGTAAAATTATTCAGTTTGTTGCATGTTTTTCAAACTTAGTTAACAGCAACTTTGTAGTCACATTTTTCTGACCAATATTTTTATGCTTCAAAATGCAAGAGCACTGTTAAAGGGACTTGCTGAAATGAGTTGCATTTTTCCCATGCATGGCTTTGAGTGCAGCCATTAAGGATAACAAATCTTGCATTTTTAAAGACATTCAGAGTAACTAGATTTGCAGCAGTACATTAATTGTCTGTAATAAACACATTAACAGACTCAAAATAGGATACACGTATCGAAGACACAGGCCTAACAAAGTGAATTATCCCCTTCCCTTGCACATTTATACTTACACAAGCATCTTGTTGAATGCATTGCAGAATGTGCCTAGCAGGCACAAGGAAATCAATGAAGTAGCACAATCCGTCACCACGATACGTTTTCTCCACTACATCAAAAACCTGACAGAGGACTGTGGATGCTGTTGCCTCAAAAGGTGGATAGAGTGCTGAAAGAGTACTTTGAATACAAGCATCCAAGGATTCAGAATCCTGCCAAAAGGAGAGCACAAATTAGTTAACAGCAACTTTAAAAATATACAGCATTCTTGGTGGCATTCATAAAATGAAAAAGATGCATTGACAATCAGCCATTTTGGCAATTAAACAAAATGGAAAACTCCAACTAAACATTTGTGCATTCAATTTAATTAACAAACCATGACGAAAAGATCTTCAAACTGTTACTCTCTCAGAAGTGCTGTCAGACCCGCACAGAATGACCAAAATTTTGTTCTTAAGTTCAGATTTCCAATATTGACAACTTTTTGGAGTGGTGGAGAAGACACTACTAACTGAATCTGCACAACTCAGATTACAAGTTTACCAAGTCATTTAGAACATCTTAGAAAGACCGTTACATTAAAAATAGATGCAAGAAACCAAGCAAATAAACTCAATAAAGCAGGCATTTTAAAGTGTAACCATATGAATTTCCTACAAATGAAATTATTTTTCTAGCACAGGTTTTTCTGCTTTCATAAGAAATCAATAATTTCTTTAATGAGTATTGCCGTTGTAACACCAGAGGATGCTGAAACTTTAAATACTAAAGTCTCTGTGCTGCGTGTTTCATAGTATTATCAAAGATTCCCCCTTACCCAGAATTAACAAAAATCAAATTGCATGTCGTATTAAAGCTGCAAAAGTAGTTAAGCTGTGCTGAAATAAAATCAATATTCTATGTTTCACTATCATTTAGACAAATAAACATCTAATGGGCCAGACAATGGTCTCACACAAAATAAATTGGTACTCCAGCTGCTGTTCAGTTGCATAACTACACCAAACACAATTGAGGAAACTGACTAAATAAATTATTTAATGATGCAAGTTAAAGAAGCTGGGACTGAACTCAATGCTTCCTATGTACAAAGAGATTCTCTTCAGGTTTTCTACTTTAAACCTGCATGCACAGCTGCCAAACACTTGCATCAAATCCATCAGGAAATGACAGGACAGTTTGGTCAAAGGAGTTAAAAAGCTCCTATTGACTTAATAAACTTCATGGAAGAAGTTTCATTATTGATGACAATTGCTTTGACAGAATTATAATCCTTTTACTGCATCAAGAATGTTCTGCTTCATTAGTGAAAGGAACTTCATATTTCATATAGCTTACCACCATGCAGGTTGTATATCAAAGTCGAGCCACACAGAACTAATGCAACAGGGAAGTAATGAAACATTGCACAGAGTAAGGACTTTCATACATGATTACCAATTATGCATCAATTGTCAGCATGACAGATTGGATTAAAACTTTTTACCACTGATCTTTTGTGATTAATTTTGAACTATTTTCAATTATTATTCATTATTTTTAAAAAAAGTTTCACACTATGCCTCCCTACATTCCTGTCCAAATAAGCTTTTACTGAATGTTTAGACTCACACTACAGCACTATGATCATTCAAGCCAGCCAGCAGCCTGTAACAGAGTGTCAGCACTCACAAAGATGCAGAAAGGGTCACAGGTGCAACGAGTCATCTCACCCCTCGACCAATATCCCAACCTGCAACCTATACCCCTTACTGATCTTCAATTTTCTAGCACCTGCAACAACTTTCACATTAAGTAAATAAAACAAAAATATTTTTAGTTGTATAACTATTTTTTATGCTGGAAATAACACATTATGGGGGTTCATGGGTTTTATGAGACGGTATCAGCAACAAACCCTCTGATAAAGGCAACAACCATAACACATCCTTATCTACCATTCTAGTGATATTCTCAAAACAAATCCACTTAATTGGATATGACTTACACTTCACAAATGCATGCTGACTCTGATGAGCTGATACTTGCCCCGAGTGCTAGCTAATCTGTCTGATGATAGATTCCAATAACACTGACATAACTATAATTATATTATGTACTCTACACCAAAGTTTAGATGACTTATAACTAACTACCTTTAATCAACCTGCTCGGACATGTTACAACACACCTCTGTGGCAGCTCAGATGGGATCCCTGATAATCTGGTCCAGAAGTTGGGTGACTACCACTGTGTCGCAAGATACACCTATACCGGAGACAAAGTTAAGCCTATTCACCTCAGCAGCTGCGCAGAATTAAAATCATTCTGGTTATTTACCTGCCCAGAAGTCACCTCCAGCCAACCATTCCCGTTCTAATGAGGAAACTGAATTGGCCTGGACTGTTACATTCTCTACCTCTGAGCCAGAAGGCCTGGGTTCAAGTCCCACCTGCTCCAGAGATGTGGTTAATAACATGCCTGAACAGAATGCTTTAAAAAAAAAGCAATGAATAAAATCAAAATTGCAGAACTGATTGGGTCCTTTTTCACATAAACATGACTGCTTCTGATAATTAAATGAATTGGCTATTAAAAACGACCCCATCTCATTCTTTCACAGCAAATGAACAATTAAGACTGTTCTGCTCTTAGAAAAATGCTGGCAATTAAAATTTAAATAACTGAGAAGACCAATGTTCAAAAACCATCACTAATGGGAACATCACCATCATTGAAAACCTATCCAATAACAATTAATGCCTTTTCTACATTTCAAATCTTGCCCAGGCTGTAATGAATCGTCCAATGCCATTCAACTTTTTTTTTTAAAAAACACATCCGCATCATTTTATCAAATGTTCTTTGAAAGCAAACATGCACATCTCCTATATCAGTAATATTCTATCATTTTTCTTCAAGCCATTCCATTAAATTCATGTGAATTAATTTTTCAAAACCCCATGCTGCTTATCTGAACTTTTCTTCTATCTTTTCTATATACCTTTCTACTTGAGGAATAATTTCATCCCAAATTAGGGACTCTCAAGAGCCGAGCCACTACCGATGTTAACCTGCTTAATCTGTAGTTATCTTCCTTTCTCCCTCGTTAAAGGGATATTGCATGAACAAGGCAGGAGCCCTCTAGTACCATTTGCCTGTGCAAGGACTTTGTAAAGAGGATATTGCTCTCTTTCCTAGTGTTTTCCATGAAATTTCTCCCATCCAACCATCCTGGAATAGGAGTGTTTCCAAAAATTCCCACCTCTACTGAAATCGTCATTATAGCAGCTTTGCAGCCATTGCTCTTTCCCTTGGTAAAGACTGCGTGAACCATGTCTTCTCTCATTCCATGCTAGAAATAAGGCTAGGACCCTGACTCTAAGGAGGAATTATAAACTTTTGTCCCGATTTCTATTTTTAGTTCAAGCGACAGGTTTAGTACATTACTATTTACCTTCAATCATTACAGGTACTGGCTGACCTGGTGTGCATGTTCTGTTTTTGCATACCCAGAGTTCAGCAGAGAAAAGAAATAAAAGAAGAACACTGCATTACGTGAACAATCATGCAAACACATTCAAGACAGTCAAACAATTAACATCAAAGATATTGAGCATGACAAGACACAAATGGGATATTACACTAAATACATTACTATACACACAATTGAACAAAATAGATCAGATACAAAGAGGCGTGCAAACAGTCAGGGATACTGATACCACTTCAGAGAGGCAGTAAGTACCAACAAAATCAGAGATTCAAATATCAGTCAATGCATCAGATCAGAGAGACTTCAAGGACATCTACGGAATGATGGCTTGAGAAAGAAAGTTATGGTAGCATGAAAAGAGCTACTGAGATACATCCGATGAAGTTTTTTGGAAGCAGGGAACAAGCAGCTTACAGAAAAACCTATCACTACCCCAAGTACAGTGCAAGTCATACTTTCCTCACTAGAGAATAATTCTGAAACCATACTCCAGTAAAAACTCAAGTATGCAGTTGAGACATTGATGCAAATGACGGACAGTAAACAAACTACAAGCAGACCAAATTCACATGTGGGATTTTGTTGATTGTATTTTTTGCACCAATTTTCAAAGTGGAGTTGTGGATACTAAAGGAAGTTTGACTTTAGTAAGATATAGAGCGGTTGGAAAGTTGGGCAGAGAAAGGTAAATGGAGTTTAATCTGGACAAGTGAGAAGTAATATATTTTGGGAGATCAAATGCAAGAGGAAAATATACTGTAGATGTCCTTGAAGTCTGTCTGATCTGATGCATTGACTGGATATTTGAATCTATGATATTGTTGGTACTTACTGCCTCTCTGAAGTGATATCAGTATCCCTGACTGTTTGCACGCCTCTTTGCATCCGATCCTTAGGAGCATTCATAAACAAAAGGTATCTTGGAGTGCCAGTTCATAGCTCCTTAAAAGTGGCAACACAAGCAGATAAGGAAGCAAAGGTGGCGTAAGCATGCTTGCCTTCATTGTTGAGGGCACTCATTTCAAAAGCTGGTTGTATTAGTCTTTAGTTAAGCAACATTTGGAGCATTGTGTGCAGTTCTGGTTGCCACACTACGAGGAGGATGTGGAGGCTTTGGAAAGGGTGCATAACAGGCTTAGAAGGATGTTCCCTAAATTGGAGTGTATTAGCTATAAAGGAGAGACTGGACAAACTTGGATTGTTTTTGACAGAAGGTTAGAGGCTGAGGGGCAACCTGATAGAAGTACATAAAATTATGAGGGGCATGGTTAGGATAGATAGTCGGAGTTTTTTTCCCCAGGTGAAAATGTCAAATACTAGGCTTACAGTGAGAGGGGAAAAGTTTAAAAGGAGATGTGGAAGGCAAGTTTGTTTTCTTCTTATTATACAGAGGATGGCAGGTGCCTGGAATGCATTGCCAGGAGTGTAGGTACAAACAGATATGTTAGCACAGTTTAAGAGGCATTTAGATTTCCACACGAACAAGCCAGAAATAGACAGATCAGACTATGTCCAGGCAAATGGGACTAGTTTAGAATGGCATCGTTGTCAGCATAGACAAAGGGGCTGAAGGACCTGCTCCTTTGCTATTTCGTTATATGTTCCAAATGCAAACTGCAAAGTTTCAACTCCAGTCGCCGTCTAGTTCATTCTCCAGCTGCTTCAGTTATTAACTTCCAGAGGCCTGACACAGTCCAGACACATCTTTGTAATGTTGCAGAATATGATATGCAA